TATGATTTTGAATCCCACTTTATTAACCTGTTTTAATACGTGTGGCAGTTTGTTAATCATGTGAAAAAGATATGGATCCCACTAATCGAACAACAAGAGAGCATTATTAAAAAGCATTAGTCCTGACTGGATTTCTATATTTGTTTACTTCGCTACTCGCAAGTCTTTTTTCGTTTATTTTATTCTTTTAGAAAATCAAAAGCTATTTGTTAATACAAAAATACTTTTTTAATCTATGACATGGACCCGTCCATTCTTCTTTAATCAAACTACAATGGTAGTACAATATTTGTTAATACAAAAATACTAATTAAACAATACAAAATGATGTCCCATATGCCTAATCAAAATGATCAACTTTATATCTTATGAGCATGTTTTTCTACTTCATGTCACCATATGCCTAATCATATACATCGAGCCTCTTCAATTGCTATCTATGTTGTCCTTTTCAGAAACTTCTATGTGAAATGTCACGCCCTCATGCCCTTGTGCAGACCGATAAGAGGTGTGCATCACATGCTGCTTGGCCTTATTTTTCCCGACCCACCTGTCCTTGTGCATCACGATAAGGGGTGTGCATCACATGCTGTTTGGCCTTATTTTTCCCGACCCGCCTGTCCTTGTGCATCACATGCTGTTTGGGCATATTTTTCCCGACCCGCCTGTCCTTGTGCATCACGATAAGGGGTGTGCATCACATGCCGTTTGGCCTTATTTTTTCCGCTTTCTTTAATGATCAACTCACAGCCTGACTTGGAGGGTCAAAACATGCACAACCTGTTCACCAATCAATCCAAATTCACCACATGACTTTAAGCCGGTCTTGGGCCTACAACTGTCCTGCACTACCAAGTCATGAACTTTCCTACCCGTAATTATCACGGCTTGACCCTTTCAATGATCAAATTAAAGCTTAGCTCCCGTTGGTGGGATTAAAATCAGAGATTTAGTAAATTTTTATAAAAGTTGATGAAATATGTGATTAAAATTAATTTTTGATTTTAAATTAAATTATAACCTGAGTTTTAATCTTTATTAAACACGGGCTTAGTTAAAATGTTTTATTTTCTTACTAAGTCGTTTTGGCTGTTTTCAGTTAAAACCAAGCCAAACTTCATTTTTTTTATCTTTGAAAACAATTTTTTCAAAATGACAAAAAGAACACGTTTTTATCAATCTCAAAATGGACTCTCAAAACACAGAATGAACTAAAAACTAAAAATCGAAACACGAAGAGAACAACCCCTAAATGTCTAACCTTATTTTAACCAATTTAACATGTCTAACCCTAATTTAATACACAGTAAGTTATTTTTCAAATTTAATTAATTATAAAATATAAACAAAAAATTCAGCCAACCACCACAAGTGGATCCAACACGATCGAGCACCAACTATTGCCTGTGTTGAATCCGCTGAATTCGCCACAAAACTTGTCCCCTACCCCTATCCACATCCTTACGCCACCCTCACCAAACCCACCTTACCCACACCAAATCAAGTGCATTCGTAGCGGCTAACGAAATCATTGATGCCCTCTGCTAATACCCACCAAATAGGAGATTTCTCACCGGGTTTAGGTAAAAAAATGAGTGTAGAAATCGCCCTTGGCTTCTTGCATAATTCTGGTTATTTCTTATATGATGTTCTTCATGTGCAAAATCAGAATTGAAAGTGCTAAAGGTGTAAAACTACAATTCTCTCCCTCAGGCTTGGTTATCTCTTGTCTGACATAGATGATTCGAGTTGATAAACCAGATCTTCAACCGATCTGGTTTTGTCGATCTGGTTTTGTCAAGAAACTAGATTTTCGAACATTTAGTTTTGCTAGAAAACTTATTACTAAATTGTAAATCTTATAATTTCAAATCTCAATTGGATTGAAAATAAACAAACTGGATATTTATGATTTTAGAAAAATATTTGGATTTAGTTTTGTAACTATTTTAGTTTATGCAATTTTTGGCGGCTTTCAAGGAGGATGGTTGTGGGAGGGTGGGTGGTAGCTCCATCACATGTTTGAGATGGGGTGGGCCACTAAGTTTGGGTTGTAGATGGTAGAGGTGACAATGTATGATGTGTAGGTGGTGTGGCGGAGTACGGATTTGATGGTGTTGAAGGAGTAGGGGTTTGAGGATGGTGTAGATCTAAGAATGGTGTTGCTTGTGGGGGGAGTGGCAGTGGTGTTGGTGGGAATGAGTGGTGGCAGCAGGTATTAGTGATAACGATGGTCAAATTTTATTTTTGTCAACGAGGTGGTAGAGGGGTCGAGGGTGGTTGGGAAGGCAAAGGGAGAAAATCTCCCAGTTGGTAGCAGTTTCGGTGACTATGTGAGTTTGGGGTAGGTTGCAGTGGTTTGGAATAATTCTATTTAACACTAGTGGTCTTAGAGCACCAGTTTAAGTGTCATAATACGATAGGCTTAATTGAAAGCGAAATTATGTGATTCATTTAATTATATTTCTCATTCAACGCCAATTAAGTGTCATTTAGACTAGTATTATAACACAAGTGGTGTTAAATAACATTACTAAGTTGTTTATGGTTAGGTGGAATGGGGAAGATATTTTTTTCTCTTATTATTTATTTTTTGTTACAATTCTTAAATATTTGTAGTTAATTAAATGTGAAAAGACCAATTTACCTTGCATTAAATTGGTAAAATTAAAATAAACGTTTGACTTTTGATTAACTAGCAGGTTTTTGGACGTAAACCGTTAATAATTCTTCTTGTGCACATATATTAAAAAGTTCAGGATGTAGGTGCTAAGGCTAAAAGTTTTGGGATCTAATTGCACATTTTTAAGGTTTGGTACCTGCACTATAAGTTTTCCTAATATTTACTATGTCCACCTCTAATACTAATAAAAAGTGAGATCACATTACGGACCAAAAAAAAAAGAAAGTGAGATCACATAAATAGATAAAAAACTTTAATAGACGGTGAACCTCGTTAAATATTTACAAAACATTTTAGTATGTATTAAAATTAAATAAAACGAAAAAGTTAAGAGAGAGAAAATCAATCAAGTTCACGAAATCAATAACTTATTTTTGGGGTAAGCTTTTTTTTATTTTATTTTCGCATAGCAATATTTATACATTATTGAATTTGTAATTCTGAAACTAAGTGATCTACTTTTTGTTTCTACAATTTGTAAGTTGTTTTTTCTCTATTTTTTTTCTCAACTTTGTCTGTTATAATTTGTATCCATGAGACGAAAATTTCAATATATATGTTCTTTATGTAAAAATGTCTAAATTATATACCCATATATATTTTATATAGGATTCATATAAATATTTTCAACAAGTTCTAACCACCGAGTTTTATTTAATAGTAGGATGTGATTTAAGTAATAATTATTTGGTCAAGGTCATCTTAACTGGACATTGCAATTTGAGTTAATCACCAAAAGTGATTGATAATGAAGAATAATAT